AGTTGTTACTGACATCTGGTGAGAATTTTATGTCAAAAACACCTTTAGAAATGTATTTACTTAGACAGTTACTAATGTCTTCAATACGTTTTTTTTACCTGCTGTATATAGCAAGCATTTAATATTATTTAAATTAAATTGTATTGATTATTGTGTTGCTAATCTTACTCTTTATTAAATTTCATTAAGAATACACTCACACATTGCTGAGAGAAAAGAGATGATTATGCTGTTATAAAGTTTATTTGTTTTGTTTATATTATCAAAAAAAATAATATTTGATGTTATGTGCTTGAAATCTGGACTGCTCACAAACCTATAATAAAAACTACTTTATGCAATCACAGACGTATAATGGCTTCTCTGGGTTGCTAAGATTGCATCCAATTTTATTGTCCATGAGCGATAAGAACATTTTTTTATTGGATTCTTTGTGTGCACTCCAGTCCAGTAGGTGGCAGTGTTGCACACTTTTCGCGCGGGTTTCCTTAAATGCCGAATACTTCCTGAACCGCAGGACGATTGGGGGGTAGTAGGGCACAGGTGAGGGAACTGGTGGGGTTTCTGAAGGATATAGGTGTTTATGAACGAGTGTAGGTTTTTTTTTTTATACAAATTGTAAACTCACTGTCTGACCCATACTCCGGAACAGTAGAGGCGGTAATGCTCCTTTACGTTGGTTGCCAACCGCCGTTAAACACAAAGAAGAAGAAGAACCGTAGGACGATTTGAACCGTGTCGGTGTCCTGACACATTTGCGAGAAAATCGATATTATACTTATTCAGTGTTCAGTGAATCGTGTGGGTGAAACGAAACCTTTGGTGCTGCAAAAACTTTTAAGAATCAGGTGAGTGCGACACTTCAACAGAGACCTCCAGCAGCGCATACAAGGACGCTTTTTAAATGTTGCTAACTCTCCTTTTTCATTCAGCCGTAGCTGTGGAAATGAAACAGGAGTACCAGGACCTCATCCTGCAGGCATGTGATGCTTCATCTCTACGAGTCGGTGCTAAGATCCAGACCCTGTGGAGTGGTTATGGGGAGATAGTCCGGCTGCACCTGGAGGGCTGTGACCGGCCCTCCGTGGTTGTAAAACACGTTAAGTTTCCAGAGGAAGCCGAGCACCCCGGGGGTTGGAACACAGATCGATCCCACACACGTAAAGTGAAATCCTACCAGGTGGAGACACATTGGTACCAAAACTATTCCACCAATCAGAGCTGTCGCATCCCTGCCTGCCTAGCTGCCTGTTCCTATGGCGATGAGATGCTGATCGTGCTGGAGGATCTGGACGTGGCCGGTTACGATCAGAGGAGGTATAAGCTTAGAAACTCTGAGAAAAGCTTCAAAAAGCATGTGGCATAAAATCCATAAAGGTCTATGAAGTGTTCATGTTATTCAGATATACTAACCCCCACCCCTTCTCCGTGACTTGTGTATATTTGTGTATGTTTATATAGTATATATGTATACCTAAGCAGTCATGGCTGATTTCCCACCCATAGACAGCATAAAGCTAGTCTAAACGTGGAATTTGGTGAGTGAATCATCAGCTTAAATTGGCACTGAAGTATGATTCTGACCATGAAAACCACAGCTACCCTGCACCAATCCAGTACATTACTGCAGACTAAACAGTACTGCAAACTAACCAAACTAACCTTCCCAATCTGCACTATACTGTCTAGTATTTTTATGCAAACTTTAACCCCTGATTATTGGGCTAGATTATATCTACATATTTGTTTGCCTTTTTTTTTAAATCTCCTCCTGTGAGCACTGGTGATGGCTACACCAATAGGATTGTATTTTATGTGGTACTGTTTCTTTCCACAATCGGTTACTGTTGCGAAGGAAAACAGTGACAGGAAATAATAAGTCCCTACAAACCTAAAGTAATGAACCTGTTTTGAAAGTGTAAGGAGCAAAAAAGGACATACTTCTGTGCTGAAATGTAGAGAGTAAAGGTTAAACTTCATTAGAAAAATAAATACTCAGGTGTAGTACAGATACCTGAAAATTCTACTTAAGAACTGTAATGAAGTGTTTTGTACTTGCATTACGTTTTTCCATTTTTCTGCCACTGCTGTGAGAGCGTGCAGTAAAACAGGAGGTCTGCATATAAACTATGGCTTGGCATTAATGCAGTAAACACTGGATTCTCCTGTAGACATCAAAAATGTTCATAAATTGTGTTTTAGGTGAGGGAGGAGATAATTTAACTTTCTAAGGGCATCCTATTGTAATATTCATTTGTAATTTTAGGTCTGAAGGTGCTTTTTTTTTATGTTTAGTTATTTTTCATTTTATTTCTGTTTAATGTAACTTAAACACTCTTCAGTTTCAGGTCCCTCATTTCCAAATTAACTGCTGAAAGAGGCAGAAGCTCTTCCAGGGGTTGTTTGACGTGTGTCTGAAAGGGAGTAGTTCAGATCAGAGCCTTTATTAGCCTGGATAGGTATATCCTTAAAGCCATGATAAAGACATGCCAAATAGTGAAACAAACATAATTTATGGTGGTTAAAAAAATATATTTTATTTTTTTTAGGATGAGCGTTACAGACAGGGAGATAAAGGCTTGCCTGAGCTGGCTTGCTCACTTCCACGCTCTCTTCTTGGGTGTGGCACCAGAGGGTCTGTGGCCTGTCGGTACCTACTGGCACCTGGAAACCCGGCCAGACGAGTTGGAAGCCATGGATGATGCTGAGCTCAAAGCAGCAGCAGGCGACATTGACAGGATACTCAGTGAGTGCCGCTTCAAGACCATCGTTCACGGAGATGCCAAATTAGCTAATTTCTGTTTTTCCCAGAGTGGGAAGGATGTGGCAGCTGTGGACTTTCAGTATGTGGGCGGGGGCTGCGGGATGAAAGATGTTGTATATTTTCTAGGAAGCTGTATGGAGGAGAGGGAGTGTGAAAAGAGGGTACCAGGACTACTGGACTACTATTTTTCAGAAGTAAAGCTATCGTTAAAAAAAGACGTAGACTTTCATGCCCTTGAGAAAGAGTGGAGGGAAATGTTTGCATTCGCTTGGACAGACTTTCATCGTTTTCTGCTGGGATGGAGGCCGGGACACTGGAAGATCAACCGATACAGTAAACAGCTGACAAAGGAGGTTCTGCGCAAGCTGAAACAGTAATCAGTAGTTTCCATGCAGCAAGTCTTCCTGGGATAAACACACAAAGCACCCAGGAAATCTGTACACACCCATATCCATTCCTGTGTCATTTAATGAAGCATGCTTATCACGTCATTTGTGGGAAAATAAGAGTTGTTGAACTGCTAAGGCAGTTTTACTTTTCTACTACTGCAAATTCGGTGCCCAGATGTGAATTAATAGCAGCACTTTAAAATCAATACTACACATTACAAAAAGCAAGAAATATGGCTGAAAACATTTCTTGATTTTATTCTAGTACATGCAAAGATGTATTCAGTGGAAATTATTCCGCATGTGAAATATTTATGAAACACAGATAAAAATAAAGGCAACTAATAGCATTATTATTGTAGAATGTGGGGTATAAACAATCCTAAAGTAATAACTTCTACAATCTGTGCGAATATTTTGAGAAAGGAAAAACTCAATAATTTTGCGGCACTTGAGGAGGTGCTAAATACTTTATTGCTGGCTGTGTGGTTGGACAAAAGCATAACATTTTTTCCAAATGTGGTTTGCCTGTTAGGCAACTTACACTGCCCTCTGGTGGTGGAGTGATATTCCAAAGATCAGTCCTTTGTTTAAAATGTTCATTTGAAGTAGGCGTGGAAAGATTGAAAATCTTACAAATAAAACAAATACACTTTTTAATTATTTTTTTTTAATCTAAAATGTCAAAGTAATGAAATGTAAGTCTCAAAATAGTTTTCTTAAAGATTAATTGTATTACATGTTTTTCCACTTTTAGTAACCAAATGGTAAAGCAATACAAAACCATACTGTGTAAGAACATCATGTCACAGAGGACCTAAATTTGCTTAAAATTTACCAGACTGAGTACTAAATGTGGTGAATAAATTAAGATATTGCATCATATCATCAGCGAAGTGCAGCACCAGTGTTGTAAATTGTATGCACACGCAAATATGCTGCCATCTACATTTTCTATAGATATAAATAATTTAAACTAGGCTCTTTTTAGAGTTTATTGCACTGCACTTTGAAATAACATGGCTATATATAAAGCCAAAACCTGCTGACTGGGGGCATGAAGTCATTATTCATATTTATGTTTGGGGAATTAAATGACATTGCTGAAGAAAAAAAAAAATAAAGCTCCAACCCTGCTTGAGTCATTCTTTGCTGGATGATTATGTAGTATTTTTTCTGACACTCATCAGACTAAACAATGTATGTCCAGTCTCCACATGTCCAGTTTTGGTGATTGGTGCAGATTTTATCCTCAGTGTCCAGTTCTAAGTTGACAAGAGTGGCATCTGGTGCGGTCTGGCATCAACGGGGCTTTTTTAAAATTCGCCCCGGGAACTGCTGCTGAATGGCTGTTTTTTCTTTTTTGGTTGTGTAGAAAATCCAGATCAGCACCAACAACCATGCAATCATCAAAGTCAGTTAAATCAACTTGCTTTTTCATCTTGACGTTAGGTTTAAACTTGAGTTCGTCTTGACCACGTCTATGTGCCTAAATGTATTGAATCATTGTCATTATATACTTGCATTAATGACTTATTGAAAAGGCATACCTAATAAAATGACCAGGAACGAAATATTGGTTCTTATATTTATTGAGTCTGCGTGTTACTGTTGTCTGCTTTGAAATTACAATGTATATGGTCAACTTCTAAAACACCTTTATATCATAAGACTTTAAACTATACTAAACTAGAACTGTAGATTTTCAATTCTAAATTTCAAAGTGAAATCAAAAACACGAAACTATAATAACGTTAATGCGTATTTATTACTGCGGTGCAAGGTTTTGGTTTTGTTTTGTTTTTCTTTGTTTTTTTGATCAGCTGTTGCAAAGAGAATGACGTGTTTCCGCTCTCACACCCGACATTACAACAACAAGGCAGGCGAGCCGAGCTGGGACGGGGAGTCGACGCTGACTGACTGACTGACTGACTGACTGACTGGAGAGTAAACAGGTACAAACAGAAAGCCCTCTGAGGCAACGTGTTCTCATTTATTATCGTTAGACCTTTAAATGTGCTGTCACCTTGGGAGAGGCTAGCTAGTGCCACCGAATTATTACCAAACCACAGCGACGCTAGCATTAGCCAAGAAGCTAACGGCGTTACCCTGGCTTCATAACCAAGGGTCAAAATAAAAGCCGAGTTGATCGGAGTGACCGGCCCAGTGAGGCTAGTTTGCTATGTGTGTTAGTGTGTTCGCCTGAGGATTGTACAGATAAGCAGCGTTAATAGCTCACCTAACTCTAAACCGTCAGGTTTAACCCGACTCGGTGTGGTTTATAGTTAAAGTTGCTTTAATTGTTCACTGTAAAGATGAGCCAACATGGCAGGTATCAGGAAGTTTCACCGAAACTCCCGACCCCTCCGCCTCACCTGCGGTTATTTTCGCTTGCGTGTGCTACATTTTGTAGATACATTGCTTTTCATTGTGAGCCAGCTGTGAATTGTTGTTGCAGTGCGCTGGTGCATTGCTTATTACAGTATGCAAAAGTGAGCTTTTTGTTGATCAGTTTCCTCAGTTGCAGGAAGTTTGGGGCAGTGTCAGACAGGTAGGACAGATGGACAATTATAGACTGGTGACCTGCCAAGGGTCTACACCCCTTGACACTTTTGGATGAGCTCCAGCCTCGTAACCCTGAATGGTTAAGCTGGAGTTTATCTTTATTAATCATTTATAGCTTGTAAGTTAGTTTATTGATCCTATATTTTAAGGGGTTTTTTTGGGCACACTTGGGGAGGGATTTAACTCTGTCACAGACATGGACAGGGACAGCTACAGTAGTTATCCCTTTAATACTTCTTTGAAGTTGACCTGAAGGATGACCACACAGATTTCCATGTTGCATGTGTGCTTAAAATTTAAATTTCAAAAAATAAAATGATAGATATTAGAAAAATACTTTATTTAAATAAAAACAAAATGTTTTAGGATAATGTGCAATCTATAAATGCTACTCTCTCTCTTTTTTAAAAACAGAAATCCAACAACCTGCTACCAGAAGAATTCCAACTCATAAAAGATCTAGAGATGAAGCAGATATTGTAAAAGGGGACCCACCTGCCCCTTACCTGCAACATTGACTGTTTTTGGTGTTATACAAGTACCAGTATGGAGAGAATTTGAGGTAGCTTACTCCTCAGGACAGTCCTGAGTTGTGTCAGTGAAGGTTCCTCAGAGCCCACTTTCTAGTAATATGAGCCATGGACTCTGGGGCAGTTGATAGTCCTGTGACCTTGGTCATTAAGGCCCCCAACCAGAAGTATGAAGACCAGACCATTAACTGTTTCCTTAACTGGACTGTGGAGAAGCTGAAAAGTCACATCTCCAGTGTGTACCCCAGCAAGCCGGTGAGTAGCTTTTTGTCCGTCTGAAAGAAACCAGAATCATGATTATTTTGATTAATAATCATATTGTATATAATTTGAAACAGTAATTCATTTTTTCAGTAGGCTGCTTGACATTTATTAAAGGCATTTATCATCAGTTTACAGATATTAAAAAAAAAAACCAAGTAAAAAAAAAAAATAGATGTAAATGAGGTGATGTACACCATGTTGTCCAATAGAAAGAAAGGCCTGGGCTGCTGGTCCCTAGCAGCTTGCAAAATGCATAATAGAGTCTTTCCACAGGTCCAGTGGTTCAAATCTTGGTACAACTTTAACTTCCTCTAGATAGACCTTAGTGACCAAAGATTGTTTCTGTTCTGTTGTTCAAAGCTGAACTACAGCACCATTAAGTTTCACTATTAGGAAGAAACAAAAATGCGCTTTGTAAAGGAAAGGGATGTGCTTGATATATAAATACAACAAAAATAAGAGATGTATAGAAAAAATTAGTACAAAGAGCAAAGTATTTGTTTTTGAGATTCTTTTATTTAATTCATTAATTGTTGACAGACAACATCTTCATTGAATCCAAGTGATTGCTGAGCCCAACCTCATATTATGTTTGATACAGAATAATCAGATTTTCTGTGGGGTGAGTTTTTGTCTGTGGGTTTGTGTGTGGGGGGTTCAGTTTATTAAAAGAATACATGGATTTAAAATTAAAGACAGGATGAAGTTTTTATGGAGGTATTCATATTTCAGCAGGCTAAAGAGCACAGCAGCAAGCACTGTGCTAAAATGGGGTTATATTTGTAGACTCGTGTTTCACCCAGAGGTGTGCCCCACTTTAAGACTGGAGTACTTCTCTAGTATTACAGATGATCCTAATGCACCAGTATGCAATACTACTCCCATGAAGACATTATCATTTGACCACTGATGTGATGTTCCTGAAAAAGTGGAAACACAGTAATTCAAAGACAACTTTGCTTTGATTCTTCAGTGAAAATGAGGCAATGGCCTTTGAATTGTCTGTATTCCATCGCGGTCAAGTTGCTCTCATAAAACAGATAAGGAGAAGCGAAAGCCTTGTGAAGAACTGAATATTTGATTGTACACATCACAGGCTTTCAGTAGGCTTTGAAATCTAATCCAGCCCAGTACTCTCATTTAACCACAAGCCACCTAATCACTTTACAAACATGACAGGTTTGATGTCTCATACTTTGAGCTATCAGCTACCAAAAGGCTTTCTCAACTGGAAACAAAAACATGTTGATGTTGCTGCACCGAGCTATGAAGGTTAAAGGGAGCTGGTTGTGACAGAGTAGTAGCTGGCAGTGTTTCCATAAAAACATGTTTGTGGACGTTTGAGTTTAAGTTTACTGTGAGGGCTGTGTTTGCTCAGACGCTCAGTTCAAGCTCTGCTTGGTGTCTCAAGAAGAAGCCCAGCAGTTTTATCATCCTGCAAAGACACCTGCATCAGGTTACACTGTATAGAGGAGACTGGTGTGATTGTGTCAGACAGTGACCTGAATGCCTGTCATTTTCAGAATATTTAAAAGCATAATTAAAAAGAAAGAAAGAAAAAAAAATTACCTTCGCTCTGTGTACGTATGTATATATCACTTCTTTGTCTCATTGTGTGATGTTTGTGTTTCAGCTGTCCAAAGACCAACGGCTGGTGTACTCAGGAATGCTCCTTCAAGACCACCTGCAGCTCAGAGATGTGCTTAGAAAGGTGAGAGCCACGTATCAATGAGTTTTTGGAAAGGGGATGTTAAGTTCCTGGGAATTCCTTGGTGAGAAAATATTGGATCTGGATCTTTCCTACAAGGGATCATATAGATTTCTTTAAATTTCAAGCCAGGTAGCACACAGCACACCTTGTTTTACAGTATAAACATTAACAAAACAAAGCATAAAGTAAAGTTCTCTGCATTACCTTTCATGAAATAACTTACCTTTCTTGTCTGACCTCATGTGTGTGTTCAGAGTTTGAATTTAAATTTTCAAAAGTTGTTCCAAAGGTCAAAACCGTGATGTGTCTTTACTCTTGTTGAGCGCACTGGCTTGTAATTAGTGCCACAGCTGTCAGTTACTTTAGTATTTGACTATTCTATTATTGAGTAACCGGGTAAGAAATATGTTTGTCTTATTACTGAACAATAAAAATATAAAATGACCTACAACGTACATAAAACATCTTCCTAAAAAACCAAAACATTTTCTTAAATTCAAAGATAACTAATCACAAGTACAATAATCTCAAGCAAAAGAAGTTATACATGCAACGGAGCCAGTTCATAAATTAAAATAGGCTTTGCTTTGTCTTCTTGTAAGACTTTTTTATGAAACAGTAAGCAAAAAAGAAAGAGGTAGATTTGGTTTGTTTGTTTTTGTGCTAGTGAGTGAGCAGGTATGTGTGTCTTTAAGCCTTTAAAGGACTATGTGGTGTCGGCAATGAAGAAAAACGAGCATATCAACATTCTCAGAGCTCAGGCTGACCTCGGCTTCAAAGAAATGTTTCCTGTTGCAGAAAACAGATGTCCTGATAGTGTAGATGTTTATAATTAATGTTTATTATAATTCAGTGTCCAACATAGCAGACGCAGATCAGTGGCCTGTGTCTGAGTTTTACTGGCCTTTCAAATAAGAAGAAAGAAAAAAAACTTTTATATTTTTAAATATTAATACAATTTAGCTGATACAGTTTTATTTATATTTTATATCAATTTAAATCTTCAAAATAATGTTACTTAAGCATTGAAAGAAATGTGTTCTAGTATCGTTGCAGTCCCACTTGTAGCCTTTGTTTGAACCAAATGTGAAACAAAAGATGAAAACTGAGATAAACTAATCTTTGTTTTCCTTCTTCGGGGAAATTTAAGAAGCCAACACTGCTCTCAAAGATTTGCGAATTTAAATGTGTTGAAACAAAGGTGGTTTAGATAAGTCGTTGATATGATTGCCAAATACATCCCCTGAGGTGTTTGGAGCTGTCTGCCTTGCTTCTAGAAGTACTTTGCTTTAGAAAACAAAACACTGAAACTAATTTATTAGTGATGTTTGTGAGTGAGCTGTCTCACACAGTTACAGTAGAGTAGTTATAGCACATTAAGTCAGAACAACATAATTTCCCTAGGGATTAATAAAGTATGTGTAAGCAATTTTGTAACTGTTGGTATTTAAGTAGCTACAAATCGTGTGAGGGGCTGATGGCCGTGCAGGAGGCATGTGTAGTCAGTTGTTCACATCCTCAGTAGTAGTTTAGCTGTTGCCCGTAGACATTTCCATCTGTGGGGGAAGTGAAACGGGCAGTCTGGGAAACAATAGCCGATGTGATGTGTGTCACCAACAAACGATGAGCATTGTCTGAATTCTGGCCATTTCCACTCTAATCCTTTCTTTCTCTCTGTGATCTGCTGGTGCCTTCTCCACCACCTTCTTTTTCTTCCTCCCACACATCTGGATCGCTCCCTGGCCTTGTCGACCCACAGCACGATGAATACCACATGATGCATCTCGTATGTACCTCTCACAGTCCCCCCGGCTCACCTATGCCTCGGAGTCCCTCCAGCACGACTGCTTCTGATTCCAGCGTGAGTAGATCAACACTTACTAACACAATTTATTTGTGCTTTTAATGTATTTTTACAGTTTTAAAAACTCTGGTAAGCAAATGTTTTTAAAAACATTTTATTAAACTGACCTGTCATAATTAAAACAGTTAGAGACTTATTCTGATTAAGATGCAATCAACTTTAACTGGATGTGTTTCTGTGATTTCCTGTAAAAACTATGAAAGCTGTTTGATTAGGCTGCAGCCTCCATGCTCCTCATCTTCTCTCAGGGCGAACTTGATCTTTTCTGTGTGTGCTTGATTTAATTATTGGTTTGTTATTGGTGTTCACACAGAGTTCAGAGAGCGCTGGGTCCGTATCTCCTGCCACCACACCAAATCAGGAAAGTCAGTCAGCCTCTTCATCCTCCTCCTCTTCTGATCCAGCGAGTTTTGATGGGCTGAGGTACCGCGGCGGCTTCGCCCAGTATCCTCAGAGCACCGCTGGTATCCCTCAGTGGTAAGCAAACAACACCAAGACACGAGACTGGGCTTTTTTAGCTCTAAATGAGCATTTTTTTATGAGTTTTTTATGGTATCACTATACAGGAGAGGGGCAATTTTACAAGCACTTTTTAAGTGCCGTGTATCAGGGTAGCACAAAGCATTCACAAGGTGCTGCTGTCTGAACACACACAGAAAAATCAGCTTTGCCTAAATGTTACCACATGCACTTCACATTACTGTAACTCCTCAACAATTTTGGGCTAGAGAGAAAATTCAGATGGTTCCTGAAAGGCGATAATTATTTTTTGATTTTGTTAAAGAAGTACAAAATATGTCCAGGCGGCCGACATGATACCTGGGAAACAAAAGGTTAAGCCAAAATCTCTGTGTTACCTGTTAGCTGACATAAGTCTTTGATTTTTTTTGTTTGTTTAATAAACAATAAAAAGACAAGTTAACAGGTTTACAGAGCAAAGAGCTATAGTGTCTTCTATCTGTTATTATATATTAATGGGAAAATGTTCTGACAGAGTCACATCTGAGCATTTACCCCCAAACTAATCCATGTCTCTTTAAATTATAGAAAATATAAATTTGTGCTAAAATATAAAATAAAATAATAT